CACTACACTCGCCTAGCACTGCACTGCACAAAACATTCACAGGCGGTGGTCGGTGTTGTGGACAGCTTCTGCAGGTCCATCCTCGGCGATGTAGTCGGTCGTCGGCAGCTACGTCCTCTTCTAGCTCTGTCATTCCCTTCTGCATGTCACCGGTGTTTCGTAGGCGAGTTTGCCAGAGGCCTCCGAGGTGCTCTGCACCACATAATGGTAGGGCAGACAGTGACTGGCAGACTGGCTACTCCGGGACGTCCATCGCATCCAGTACTTAGCATCGAAGTAGGATGGCTCCAAGATATCTCACATGTTAGTGTATAGTGTGCTAACATCCGATGCATCTCCCCGCTGTTTTCTTGAGTGGTTTTGACGCAGGCCTCGTGTTGGAATTTTGCGAAGTTTTTCGCTGGAGAATGAGAACTTTGAGCTGTCAGAGTCGTGGTTAAGTTCGATTTGAGTTGGGCGCCAAGTCGTCTTCGGTACCAAATAACAGGGGAAATATCGTAATAGCAACTATGGTGCATTTCCCATGTTTATTAATTTGGTTTTCAAACATTGCGCAATATTGCACAATATTGGGAATGTTTGCCGATACGCTCTATTTTGGGCATTGTCTTGAAAAAGACAATGCCTGAAGGTTTATTTATTGTTGGATAAATAAAACACATTCTGCGTAGAAAAAAACTCGTGGACCTTGAACGAAGATATGTGCAGCAAATTGGAAACATTTGAGATGTGGCTATATCGGAGAATACTTAAAATATTCCGTGGACTGACCGAGTCACCAATGAAGATGTCCTCAGAAGAATAAAGAAGAACCAAGAGGTACTGACCACCATCAAATCTCGAAAGTTACAGTACTTTGGACACATTATGCGAAATTAATTCAGATATGCCCTTACAAGCTATCCTGCTAGGAAAATATTTTGACAACGGAGTCCAGGAAGAAGAACGTCCTGGTTGAAGAACCTCAGAACCTGGTTCAACACAACATTCATGCAGCTATTCTGCGCTGTGGGAGATAAGGTAAAGATTGCCATGATGATCTCCAACATTCGTCACCGATAGGCTTATCAAGAAGAAGAGAACTCATTTCCACACCAGCATAGAGGTAGAGTGATAATGATGCGTTTTTTTATGTGGTTTCCACATATAATCCTCATTGATAGAGTTTCATCAAATAAATTTTTCATGTCGGCAAACTTAAAAGTTGTATTTTTAGCTGCTACATAATTTTTATATCTGCCCATATCAGTTCTATGGGATTCAGTTCACAGTGATATGGTGGCAAATCTTAAAACAATTTTATTTTGACTTTTCGCCATTTCGTCGATAATGTATTTATCATACTGTTTTTTATGTTGATTAACAAGAGCTAAAAGTTGCACTTTGAGAAGTGAGTCGTCAAAGGGGATGCTTTTTAGATGTAGTCATTCTTGGATATCCGCTTTTCTAGAAGATGTGGTGGGGATCTTTTCAGATTTTCTGGAATGATATAACGCATTGTCCATTATAATCACAGAATTTGCTTCCAATTTGGGTAACGTTTTTTCAAACCAACTCTCAAAACCTTTTCCATCCATTTCCTCATGGTAATCTCCACTTTTCTTTGATTCAAAACTTCATAGAGCGTCAACAACAAATCCGTCTTCGCTGCCTATGTGACAAATAATCAGTCGCTTTCCTTTACCTAAAAATTCAAATATTATTTATCAATTTCAATGTTCAAAAAAAAATATTACCTGATGGATTTTTCAGACCTGTCGAGAGTCCATTCAAAAATGCTTGTCTTGATGAGGTGACTGACTTATCAATCCATGTTTTTGATTTAGTATGACCGGCGTTAATCCAAGTCTCATCTAAATAATATATTTTACGATTGCCATTCCCATGATCTTTTATCTGCCTTAGAAATTCTCTTCTCCAGATTACAAGGTCATCTCTGTCTGTAATCATACTATTCCAGCCACGTTTTTCGAATTTAAATTGAAGTTTTTCAAAAGCTTTTAAAAAGTAGTACGTTTGAAATCAGGTAGATTGGGGTCGTCGTTGACCTGTTGTAGAACTCTATCTATCGTGGGAATTTCATTTCTAAAAAAGAATTGATGCACTATTCTTCTTATCGCTACCTTGTCAAAATCATCTACAGATTCGAGTTTGCCTTTACGAGTGGTACATTTTTTTGGTGCAACTAATGTGTGTGTAGTTTTATATTCTCTAATAACTTTAAACACAGAACTATCCGATACTCCAACTTTATCGGCTACTCTTTTCTCAACAGCGGACAATGATAACGCCGGATTTTCTTGTAACTCGTGCTTATACACGTTTACAATTATTTCTTTAACGTCTACGCTTAAATGGCCTTTTTTCGATCTCTTTTTGGGGGAAGTTAAAGGTATGCTTACGACTTCATCGGCAGAATCCGTCTCCGACATATTAATTTGTTTTAGTGACTGTATATACAAACCTGCAAAATATTATTTACATGCTAATATTCTAATAAAATAATAGATAATAGATAATTGAACAGATATATTAAAAAGGTCATAAGTCACAATCACTACCTTTATTTTCAAGGTGTTACATAAGCGACCATTTTCGAGGCTTACAATATTTGCCTCATCCTCGGGCAAAGCAAACAGTTTGTTTTGTCACAAAACAATAATATAGATATCGGCAATAAGAAGTTTTCCGCTTACATCCAGGGTACTGTCTGTCTTCATCTTTTCCTTTATGACACTATCTATTGTAGTAAGGTGATATGTTGATCCTTATATATGTTGTAAATAAAGGCTCTTGGGAATATGGTTGAGCATTAATGTGTTCTAACTGTGTAACTGTTGCTAAAGGTTGTTGTCTTTGATCCTTAAAATACTTTTTGGATGTTCTAGTTTTTGTTGTCAAAGTTGTTTTATTATTAAAAAGGTAGGATTATCTTTTGGTTTGTAATAAAATTAAAAGTAGTTAAACACAAATACACATACAGTATAAGCTGCCACATCCGGACTGCATATATTTTAAAAACTTGTGGAAGATGGAAAATCACGTATTAGGTAGTAGGATGTCCTTTTTTGTTGTTTTTGTCACAGGTTCTTACAAGGTAAAGACCTACAGGTCTTTACCTTGTAAGACCTTTTATTTACATACATATATAATAATCAACATATCATCTCACTACAATGTTAGTGTCATGAAAAGATGATGACAAACATTACCCTGGATGTAAGCGGAAAACTTCTTATTGGCGATATCGATATTATTGTATTTTAACAAAACAAACTCTTTGCTGTGCCTGAGGATGAGTCAAATATTTTAAACTTCGAAACGGATCGCTTCTGTAAAACTTTGAAAGTAAATATTAGATTGTGAGTATTGACCTTTTTAATATATGTGTTTAATTATGGACTCACACTTGCAAACCTTTTATCATCATAATAATTATTATAATAGAGTCAAAATAATATTAAATTTACTTACTTAAGTTGAGAGAAAACAGCAAACACCTTAAAAATGTTCACAGTTCTAAGTTTATTTAAATAACACTATAATTATAAATCAACACTATAATGTTACCAACACACATACATATAGAGCTATTAAAAGTAAAAATTATATTTATATAATTAAATTCAACAGACATAAATAAGATTCGTAAGGATTATTGAATCCATATCTGTTAAAAAACTGCAAATTACGCGTCTTTGTTTAGAGGTGGAGATTGTCGTTACTTGTGAGTTTCTACTTGTTACTTTTTATACGCTTTTGTATACAATAAAATCAGTTACAGTATAAGTGATTTTGTAACAAGTATATACCACTTCAGCATCTCTAGATACTGGGAATGGACATATCACGCGTCCGTAGTTTTGTTATTCTACTTTTCTGTTAGGCGAATATACTTTAGTTTAAGTAGTTTTTATGCCACATTACAGCTTATGCCAATAATATAAATTAGAAATTGTTTGCATCTATCATTTAGTTTGTAGATGTACATTATTCATGTCTTACCTACCTACGTTTTTGGTGTCGATATTTTGTTATCTGCATTTAAAAATGACGTGGACAACAGGTTTTATCCCGGTTAAGTGTAGTTTTAAAGGTGCCTTCAGTCTAAGAGAGAAAAATATAATATTAAATGTACACGATGCACTTGTACATCAACGCCCTTTAAGTAATGTTCGTGAAATCGTTAATATGTGTTCAAATATGACAGGGATTGGAGAAGCAACAATTTATAGATTCCTAAAAGAAAGAAAATGAGGAACTGTTTCATCTCCCAAGAAGAGTGGAGGGAGTAAACCCGTGGAAATTGAAGAAATACATAAAAACATAATAAGGCGCAGTGTCCACTCATTTTTTTTTAACAAAGAATTACCAACATTGGACAAAATCCAAACATTAATTAGAAAAAACGAGGAGTTAAAACCAATTTCTACCAATCATAAGTAACAAGAAATTATGGAGACTATTGAGAGAGATGGGATTTCGTTGGCAAAAGAATAGAAGAAAATCCGTTTTAATTGAAAAAGATTACATTAATCTCCATCACTCCGACACTGGCAACTTTATTTAGGGATTAGTAACCCTCAAAACTATTGTATTCTATTCTGCTTCAACCTTTATACCTGGTGGTCATACTCAATTTAAAATTGTTTTCCTATATAGTTCTGTAAACTTGTTGACAAATATCTATTTTTCATTGAGTCACCCGTATCAACAGTTTAGGGATTTGCATACATAATGTGCTATCAATATGATGGAAATGGACTATAGTACAGTAAACGACGAAAGATAAATATACTTGTATACTAAAAGCTTTTTTATAATAATTTTAACCCATGTATACAGAGGACTTCCTTTTAATTTATTTCATATCTTGCGATCCAAAACAAATATAATGACTAGTAACAGAAAATTATGAGCCTCCTTGTATAGCGTTAGAGATTAACCAATGAGTAATGTACATAAAAATATTTGTTTAGAAAGACGATTACCAGCCGATCAGTGCAGCCGTGACCTCCAAGTAGAAACAACGATAATATAACCACCGGTAATATGGCGACTGACAGCGGTAAGTCCAAAAATACTATGATAATGTGCTAGAATTTTAATGACTATTTAATAGGAGTTTTATTTAAATATTTGTTGTTTGCTGCGACAGAGAAACTAAAAATAATTTGACATCGTTTATAATAATAAAAATTTGTAGGTTCATTTAGGCACTGATCGTTCATTGCTGTTTCAGAATTATCAAATATCACTAAGTAAATATACTAAAAATTTTATAGATATATTAGAATAGCGAAAAGTGCCGAATACCGATTTTGCCGAAAGTGTTTGTTGATTTTTAAGATATAAGAAAAGTACTTTTTGTTTATTCGCTTTGAGGCTCGTTGTAAATGTTGAACCTGTAAAGTTGTGAAGTAATTACATTTAATAAAGTCTGATTAACATTAGAGACCTAACTTGTCCCTCTTTTCCTTAGAGTTTCCTTTAATGCTTCTTAGTAAGTGTAGTTGCTCCTCATTCTTTTATTTATTTATTTATAGAAACTTAAGGTATTTTGCGACTTTAGATAGGAGAGATCATTAGCTTCGATTTCTTGTACTCAAAGCATTATAGTAATCATTTAAAATTTATGTTTCAGAGTTTGTAGTTAAATATTTCTGTTATTATACTCTCTTCTTTTAATAAGACTAAACTCTGTTTAATCCGCTGTGTTTAGCCCTCTTCTGATCTTTTCCTGAATACCAACCCTCGTAACGTATTTTTGTTCTCCATGTGTTTGATTAGCGAGCCTTATCCCATAGCCCATCTTGCCACCTCTCTTCTGGAATTCTGACATAAATACTCTCACTCTCTCGAATGTCGCTTCCATGTTTTAACCCACCTGAACAAACTCTGTACAGTAAGTTCTTTTCTAATAACCTGGATTCTTAGTTTTCCTAAGGATTACTTCATTGATAGTTCTTAATATTTGTTTTTCGGGAATTTTAAATATTGTTGTTGTTGATATTTCTGCTCTGGTTTATGTAACGTACATATTTACGAATACTCGGAGTATTCGCTCCGAGCGTGACTGTAACACCACTTGCGTCTTCTCATTTCGAATTTATTTAAAGTTATTTTCTTCTTCTTTCAGTACCCTGTCCGATTATAGAACTTTGGCGATGATATATTAGTAATAATAACTTTGTTAAAGGCACCGTCTGATGCTTTGAACTATTGAGTTCAAAGCATCAGACGGAACTGTTTTCTGTTCCTCGAAAACGGTTGAAATTATTGTTAAAAAATGAGTCTCTTACAAGAAATTACATATAACAACGACAATTATCTGACAGCCCAAAGCAAACTTTCCGTAAATGAAATAGTATTTGGTGTCCCCTTCGACGACTCTATTTCTTCTTCTTAGCCTTCTATCGTCCATTTTTGGACATAGGCCTTTCCCACCTCCTTTCATTGATATCTAACCTGAGCAACATACTTCCAATTTGTTCTGGCTATTCTTTTTATGTCGTCCACCCATCTAATATGTGTCTTCCTTTTGGTCGTCTACCTTTTGTAAGTGCTCCAATGTTGTATTGTGGCGTTGGCGTTCCAATGTTAATCTTTTTGTCTAGCAGTATGACATGCGAAGTTTCATTTTAGTTTGGCAATTTTTGTAGTGATATCCTCAACTTTTGTTTTTGATCTTATCCAGTCTGACAGTCTTATACCTAACATTGCTCTTTCAATTGCTGCCCGTTCTGTTGTGACTGGTTTATCCATATTTGCCTTGGTTAGGCGTCAGGTTTGACATCCATGTCATAATAGGCAGGATGCACTGGTTGAACATTTTGCTTCTTAAGTAATGAGGTATTTTGCGATTCTTAACTATCCAACTGAGTTTTACAAATCGTGCCTATGCCATTCTTGCTCTTTTAGTAATTTCCGCACTTTGGTTTATTTGTCAAGTTTCAGAGTTTGGTCTATGTTGATATATTCCTGGAGTTGTTCTATCTCACTGTTATTTACAGTTATACGTCTGAAATTGTCTGTGTTTATCATTGTTTTTGTTATATTAATTTTTCGGCCTACGTTTTTGAAGCTGTCTGTGAGTTTCTTTATCATAATTTGTAATTCCTCGAATGTGCTCGCTATAATTACGATGTCGTCAGCGAATCTCAGGTGGTTTAACTTGTTGTCTTTAACGTTGATGCCATAATATGTTGACTAATTTGTAGTTTTAAAAATGTCTTTTAAAAAAATTGTAAAAATTTCTATTCTACAATTATTTATAGCCTGTTCCCTTTTTATAATCTACGAATGCAAGAAATACTATAGTTGACACTCATTTGCCTTCTCTATCAATATTTGTTATTGTCAGCAGATGCTCTGATGTACTATAACCCTTGCGAAAACCAGCCTGTTCAACCGCTCGGTAATTATCCGTTTCATAAGTCAACCGATTGTTAATAATTCTCTTTTTGTATACGTTACAGAGTATCGACATATGTAGGTATATAATTTTTTAGGTTACATTTGTCCCCTTTTTGTGTAAGAGTGTTACTAGGCTCTTGTTCCAGTCTTTAGCGATTTTTTGCTATTATGAAGACATCTATTAAATAGCTCTGTTAGTACAGGAAGTGTTACTGTGTTGCTTTTTTCAAGAGCTCGGCAATTATACCGTGGTGTCTAGGTATTTTTTAGCCTTCTTAAAGCTTTGTCTATTTTGAATTCCTCTATATTTGGTAGTACCTTTGATCCCACGTTTTTTATTTTTCTTTTGGCGTTCTCCTTTGTTGATTCTTAGGCTGGCTTTGCGAGCTGTGCAAGGTTTTGTAGAAGTCTTCGACTATCTTTGTTATTTTATATTTGTCCTTCTCTTCCTTATTATTGGTTTCTTTCATTTTGATAATTTTTTGGATCCCAGTGTTGGTCTTAAACATTTTAGGCATCTGTTATTTTCAATGACTTATTCTTTTAATTTCTAGTTTCTTTTTTTTATTTCGCATTTTAGTTTTATTAAGTTTTACGTATGCTTGAGTATGGCGTTTGTATTCCGCTAGCAGTTGTCTTGTTTCCTTCATTAGTTGTTTAGTTTCGTTGCTTATTTTGTTTTCTTTAGTTCTTCTTTTCTTTGCTACCTGCAGTCTGTCTTCGAGAAGGTTTTTATTTATGTTTTGCGAATGTCGTCAATTTGGTCTTGATTATGTGAAAGATCTGATTAAAATTTACCCGCTAAGACCTTTTGGAATTCCTCTTCATATATTCTTACTTTGAAGGTATCCATCCACGTTGTTTTTTTAAAGATGCTTTTTTTTCTCCTTTATTGCATATTTTGGCTCTAACTGTACAATGGTTACTACCAGTTGTTATGTTGTTTATTGTTGTGACATCTTTAAATATTCTTTTGTTGTTTGAGTCTGATTTTGCGTCTAACTGTACAATGGTTACTACCAGTTGTTATGTTGTTTATTGTTGTGACGTCTTTAAATATTCTTTTGTTGTTTGAGTCTGATTTTGCGTCTCCGACTCTAAACTATTTAAATGCGTTTTTCCCCAAAAACAGTTAAAATTACCGTGTTTAAAAAAGAGTACCAATTTTATATGAAAATTATGATTATACTTGTTTATAATTTCTCCAGATAGGTACACTTTGGTCCAAATAATCCAACCCTAGTCGATGTCGTGACAGCTTTAGTGCTCCATGGATATTCTTATCGAGTTACAAGCATAAGCGAGAAGTAAACCTTAGATAGGTATTGTCCATGTGTTGGTTACCAGTAGTTAACATGATGGTTAATTATTTTTTTTTTTGGGAATGATGATGAAAGTTAGCTAAGGGAAATGTTTTTCTTTTGTTACTGAGTATCAACGAGAAGTAAAAAACACAAATTTGACTGGTGGTTGCTGTTATTATATCTTATTCCCTAAACGGTTTAGAAATAACTATTCTAAAATTTGAAGTTTAGTAAAAATATTGAACCAGTTATGCAGATATTAAAGAAAAGATACGGTAGATTGTGTTCGAAAGTAATAAAGCAGCATGATATTCTGCCACTCGAGTCTGAAAGAATTGTACTTTCAGATAAAACCTGTTTTACTAAAATTTAATCTAATTTACTTTTAATAAATTTCTGAATATTCTGAATTCGTCGTTCTTTTTGACAATGATAGACCTTGTTCTTCACCATCCACGGATGATCGAATAAATTAATAAAGTCCAAAAATAACAAAAGAAGAAGTTATTTATGCAGTAAAAGCTCAGAATAACGGAAAAGCCACCGGTCCAGACAATATCAATGTCGAAATACTTAAATTAATTGGAGACAACGAAAGTAAAAGCCTCGACTTAATAAGAGCACTATTCAATAAGATATATGACACAAGGTAAAATACCATCAGTCTGACTAAAATCAACATTCGTAACATTACCAAAAAAATCCAATGCGATGACTATCGAATATTAGGCATGATGTCTCATGTCTCATGTGAATTTACAAGAAGTGTGAATATCAGATGAGTGACACTCAATTCGGATTTCGAAATGAATTGGGAACACGAGAAGCTCTTTTTGCCTTAAATGTGTTAACACCACGATGTAGAGAGATGAATGCAGATGTCTATGCATGTTTTATTGATTATTGAAAAGCATTTGACTGCGTTAACCATCAAAAGATAATCGAGATTCTGAGAACAACTGAAAATGACGAACAAGACTTGCGAATTATCTTAGAACTATATTGACACCAAACGGCAACAATTGAAATAGAGCACACAACATCCGAAGATATACAAATCCGACAAGGAGTGCGACAAGGTTGCGTCTTATCACCACTATTATTTAATCTATATTCGGAATCTATATTAATAAAAGCATTAGACTAGGTTCAAGGTGGAATCAAGATTAGCGGAACCAACATCGACAACATCAGGTACGCTGATGATTTCGTCCTAATAGCAAACAACTCACAAGAACTACAAAATATAATAAATGCGGTAGTTTGTCATAGCGAAATGTTCGGTTTACATCTAATTGTTTCCAATACTAAAATTCTAGTATTTTCGAAGATACCAACAAACGTACATTTGTACGCCAAGAGACAAATAATCGAACAGGTAAGGTCCATAAAATATTTGGGGGCAAATATCAACAGACAGTGTAACCCAAAAAAATAAATCCGGTCAAAAATCGAACAAGCGAGGAAAACACATGAACACATTTTTTACAAGATCAGACCTTAGTCTAGAGCTCACAATTTGAATGATCAGATATTACGTTTTCTCTGTTTTGCTGTAAGGCTGTGAAAATTAGACAATGTACTCGGAAACAGAAAAAAGAATAGCTAGATGCCTTTGAAATGTATATATAAAGACGAATGCTGAGAATTTCATGGGTACAAAAAGTTACCAACGGTGAGGTACTTCGGCGCATGAGTAAACCAAAAGAATTACTAAGCATAATCACTGAGAGAAAAATACAATACTTGGGTCATGTGTTGAGAGGTGAAAGATATAAATTACTCCAAATCATAATGGAAGGTAAAGTGCAGGGCAAAAGATCAGTTGGAAGACGCAAGAACTCGTGGCTGAAAGACTTGACGAGATGGTTTGATCGCTCATCCACAGAAATCTTTCGTGCAGCAGTTTCCAAAGCTACAATTGTCATTCGGATCGCCAACCCCCTAAAGAGCGCAATAAGAAGAAGAAAAAAGTTCTGAAACTATTTTCTTGTAACATTTCTTTCTATTATGTATATTTAGTGAGAATAAACCACAATTTGAATTGAAAATATTTTGAGGCCACTTTGGAAATCGTTCTCTACAAATTAATGGTTTAATTTTTTAATTATCTTAAAACTGTTGACAAATTTTGTCAGTGTCTCCATCTTCCTCTCTCTATCACTCTCTAGTCATTGCCTTATTACTGCGAACATCCAGTTTTTAATTCTTACTCTGGTTTTATTATTCTCGTATAGGCTCTTTAACAGAGCTGACCGATGATCAAGATCTAGCATTTGGTGTAGAATTTTCAATACAACTTTCCAGTTTACATAGTCTAATACCTTTTGGTATTCTAGAAAGCAAATAATCATGGAAATTTTAAATTTTCGAGCTTTTTTAATGAGCTGCCCTGTATTCAGGGGCGGCTGGTCCTATGAGGCAGGTGAGGCAGTGCCTCACCAGTATTAATCGACTATTTACGTTCTTTAACTACAATTTAACTTTTTGGAATTTTCTAAATAACTTTATTTTCATTATGATAAAAAATTAAAATAGGTACACCCCTGATGTCTTATCTTTGTATATTTCTTCATAATCTACGGGTCGGACAAGGGACAAGCTTAAACCACAAAATATTAAATAAACAACGGCGCCTATCATCTGTGCATCTCATTCTCTCTTTAAAAATTATAGCCGAGGCAAGCCTCACGGCATTGCTCTGTCTAGCATATTAGACATCACATTATGTAGCGAAATTCAACATGATTTATTTATTTTCTGCCCACTATTTCACCGAACAGGAGAGGCAAGCCTCTCTCGTTTGGTGTAGTTCTTTTAATTAGCAGCGTTGCCGTTTTGGTACAAAGGTACCCAATTCGCTACATTTTTTCCCTCGGGGTATAAAAGTACATTTTAAATAAAACATAGATTTTTATTTGAAAATTGTAACAACATTGGAGTATTTTCCTTTAGTAGATGGTACTATACATATTGTTCTGTTGTTTTCCGATTTAACAAACAATATTTTTTTTCTATGTATTTACCAGATTAGCAACTTTGGTACATTTTGGAACATTTCTGCAAAATTGTTGTAGTAAGTAGTAGTTAAATTACTTCCTGTTGACCTGTTGGTGCGGCAGGATCACGTTTGACGTATCTCGTGTTGTTTTTCATTAAAAAAAACAGTAAGATTACATGTTATATAATAAGTGCAATTCTAATTAAGTTTTTTTAATAATTTTGGTGGGTTTGTTTTTGTCTGCAGGATTTTCGGTTTTAGTGAAAAATGGATTTAGCACCGAGCACTTCGTCACAACTTTCCCAGGTAAATGTAAATATTCGTAATACTTGTAATCTCGTAAATTTTTTAGTCAAACAGCAGAATTTTTCAAGTCATTCATATGAAGATAAATTATATATAGTTAAAGTAGTAAAACGACCTATTCCAGATTTAAGTAAACATCTTGTTTCTATCGGTGGCGTCGGAAAACCAAATCGGGGATTTCAAAATGCATGGTACGAAAAGTTTGACTGGCTTACGGGTAGTATAACATTAAATAAATTGTTTTGTTGGCCATGCATTTTATTTGCCACAGCTAATACTAGCGACAAAGTTTGGTTCAAAAATGGTTATACTGATTTGAAAAATTTGTCTTGGAGTCTATTGTTACACAATAAAAGTTCTCAACATATTACATTGAATTGCAAGCTTACTCTTATGAGAAAACAAAAGCAAAATATCGCTACAGCACTAGACAATTCGCGTAAAATAGATATTGAAAATTTCAATGCTAGGGTTAAAGAAAATCGGCAAATTTTAAAAAGCCTTACAGATATTACGTCACACCTCTGTATGCAAGAGTTACCGTTTAGGGGGCATGATGAATCTAATGAATCTTTAAATTGCGGGAATTTCAAAGAGCTAGTTGTTCTTGTTAGTAAATTTGACACTAATTTAAAAACATTTTTAGAACATGATAATGACTCTAGATCAGTTTTTTCTGGGACATCTAAAACCATACAAAATGAATTAATCGATTCAATTGCTTTTGTTATAAATAAAAAAATTGAGGAAGAAATTTCAAAATCATTATTCTTTTCCTGGCAGGTGGATGAGACTACTGATATAAGCTGCCATTCACAACTATCCATTATTTTTCGTTACGTAATAAACAATAAACCAGTCGAACGATTCATAGGATTTTACGATGTAAGTTCCGGGCGTTCTGCTCAAGATTTATTTGAATTTTGATCTACCAAATTTGATCGTGAAGAAGATGGCACTAGATTAGCAGTCGCCATTTATAACACTTACTAACAAATCTCCCAGATAAAAAATACCTACTAACCCCCAAAAAAATATAAAAATCCCAAAAAATTAATAAAAAATATATAAATTCAAAAAAAAATATAAAATAATAAAAAATTCACAAAAAAATTATAAAAATACAAAAAGGCCACGGGAGAGGCCACCTAGATCCTTGAGGCTACAACTTGGCCGCTAACCAAGGTGCAGGTTCGAGGATTACAGCTCCCTCGTTTTTCGTTCGCTTTTATCTCACGATATGAGATTTCATGATAAACGGGAATAAGTCACTTAACGACACCTTGGGTATGATTTAAGTTACATTTATGAGCACCCTATTACACATGGTGCTCATAAATACAGCTCAATCGCGGACTTTTTCAAAAAGCAGTCAGCCCTTATGTTGCACCTTCAGTGCACATAAGGGAGGGTGGAGGAGGGCTTAGGAGAGCTTTGAGGTGAGGATGACTTTTGTTGATCCGCGCGCGTATCGTCAGAAGTCCTTCTCACGCCAAGTCATTGTTTGCTGGCGCGAGCAATGCCTCCTTAGCCGGATATGACTGGAGCAAAGAGAAGCTAACCATAATAATAATAATTTTCCTTAAGTGTAGTGTGCCTCACCAGCTTGTACTATCACGAGCCGCCCCTGCCTGTATTGACAATTTTCTCCCACGTGCATGAGATATTTGATGATTTTCAATAGAATTTTACTTGTGGGTGTGAAATTAATGCGATGGTTCGGTAGTGACTGCATTTTGTAGTTGCACATTTCTTAAGAATTGTAGTCAATAGCATACAGGACCATTTACCTATTCTCCATATCTGATTGCACAATGTCTACATTAATTGGAGACAAGGTTCACCTATGTTCTGTAGCAGCTCTGCTGTGATATGGTCGAAAACAAATGATTTATTTATTTTAAGATGCTGGTGCTGATGCTTATATAGCTGGTGTGATGTTTAGCTAGGTGGAATGATAATGATAGACGTTTCCTCTTTATGGAGTTCTGTGCAGAATTTATTCAATGTCTGCATATTACCTGTTTCATCTTCTATAGCATAGTTTTTGGATTTCAATTCCAGAGCAAGCAAAGCTTCGCTTTCTGAAAAAGATCTCTTGTTTTATTTCGATGTACGTGGATTTCTATTTCTAACACGGAATTATTGCGAGAAATGAGCAAAGAATGCGAAATATTAAACACAATAAAAATAAGAAAGTTAAAATGTCTGGGACACGTAATGAATGGACAGCAATATAAACTGCTAAGGCTGATAATACAGGGAAATATAAGAGGCGGAAGAAGTATAGGAAGAAGGAAAGTGTCATGGTTGAAGAATTTAAGGGACTGTTTTAAATGCAGTTCTATAGAACTCTTCAAAGCAGCTGTAGAAAAAGTAAAGATAGTGATGATAATATCCAACCGTCAAGTGGGAGACGGCACTTAAAGAAGAAGGATTTCTATTTCCTGACAGATGTTAGAAATATATTAATCATCTTTATCTCACGACATCACTATTAATTTTAAGTTACCTTCTTTGTGCTATAATTTCCAATGTTTGGTTACTGATCTGTGGTTTACGACTACTGCGTATCTTGCGGATTAACGACATTGATTAGCCGGATCTAATATAGCAGAAAGGATTAACATCATCTTTGGAAGTACCGATTGTTCCACTTCAAACTGGGTTTATTCGTTCTTTGGAAGTTATCAGTTCACTTTCAGTTAAGATATAGAGTCGAAGAGTTGGCTTGTGCTTGTTTCTAAAACGTATTCAGAAAACAGCTACTAAAAGTTGGTGATAGCTTCCACAAACTGCACCTGGACAAGATTTTGCGTTTGTAACTGAATACTTTCACTTTAAATTGATCATTATAAAATATATCTTATTCCTTGTTATGTCCCTCGGGAATTTTCAAGCGTAGAATGATCGTGTCAAAAACAGCTACGGAGGCTCTATTAGGCCTGTCCCCCTTGCATTTGATAATACAAGAAGAGGCAAGATTGGAAGCCTACAGTATAAACTAATCTCTGCAACTACACAATAAAGGGACAGGGAATATGAGTATTACAAGGACTGTGACGAAAGGTATCTTTAATACAATCTTCGCTTGAGTTCGACAGGATAGTGTCATTACACAACTTCTTTACCTACGTCACGAGTATACATCAGATATTTTTATTTTTATTTATATATATATATATATATATATATATATATATTTATTTAAAGAAAAAGTCGCATCCACCTAATGGTTATTAGCGAGGGATCTATACAATTTTACAATAATAGATATATTACATGGTTACAAAAAAAAAATCCTACAAAATAGTACTAAAAATGTCAACAATTTTGTACAACAAAAAAAAATAAAGTAAAATCTTATGAAACACGTTGATGGCTTTTAAATAATCTATTAAGTTCTTTGAGTATCTATTTTGACCTAGCACAACTGATAAGTTTGAATCTATATTATAAACAGATTGTTGATGATTAAATTTGTCAGATTCAAAGATATGCTTTACTGTTAAGGTTGAGGTTGCTTTACTGTTAAAAAAGATAAGAGTGTATGAGTCTCGTTGGCCTAATCGTAATCGGTTAACTACACTCTGTTCATGACAATTTTTGTAAAAAGATTTAGTTCCTTTAAGTGTATCTTTAATTTGTCGTAGTTTAGACGTTGATATTTGCCATTCGTTATGCCAGACTTCTAAGATTTTTGCCTTAATAGAAATCTTTAAGTCATCTGGACCACACTTTAATATTATTTCTGATTCCGCACTAGACACTGCACTACGCGCTTTTAAGTCTGCTTCTTCATTTCCAGGGATACCCACGTGAGAAGGAATCCATATGAAGTCAACCGTTCTTTCTTTTTCTTGACATGTGTGAAGTTCTGATTTGATCATTTTTTCAATTGGGTGTTTAGGATATACTGCGTTGTTAGTTTTCCACTTTGGAGTAAATTCTTGATGTTTCTGCACATGGTTGAGGTTCGTAATAACTATGGGAAAGTGATCACTTCCATATGTAAAAGGCAATACTTCCCAGTCTAAACCTATGGTTAAGTTAGGATCACATAAAGAAAGATCTAGAACTGATGATTCACCTGTCGATATATTAAATCTAGTAGGGTTGCCATCATTTAAAAAGTTTAGCTGAAAATCTGTAATAATGTTCTCTAATATTTGGCCCCTTAAATTTGTATTTTGTGAGCCCCAAATTGTATTATGGCTATTCAGGTCACCTAAAATTAGGCGTGATGTGGGTATCTGATCAAGAAGTTTGCGGAGGTCTTCGTAACTAACTTGTATGTTAGGAGGCAAGTAAATATTACAGATGTAGAATTTTCTATGTGGTTTTGAAATCTTTACAGCAATGGCTTCGAGATCTGTTATGAGTGGAAAGGCTTCATGGTCTATTGAATTTTTTACCAAGATTGCCACTCCTCCACCAGCGCGATTGGTGTTCGTTCTATCTTTTCGAAAACATTTGAATTGTTTTGGTGAGTATATATTGGAAAGAGTAAGGTTAGTTTCTTGTAGGCATATTATTTCTGGGGAGTATTCTAATTGAATGATTTGTAACATAGGTAGGCGATGTAATAGTCCATCAATATTCCACTGTAGTATAGAGTTGAAAATTATGCATCGAGGGAGGATAATTGACTTTCTGTAATATCGTTACCTAGGTAGTGTTGCAATTTATTTTTAAGACGGATAAAACGGTGTTTCGTAGTGTTGTCGGATATATATGGATAAGATATGGTTAACAGATTTATTAGACCAAGAAAATCACAAAATCATGTTTCATTCATGAACAATTTAAGAGAATCAGGGGTTGGTGCTGTGCATTTGATTTTTTTGGGTTTCTGGGTTTTTATTTTGTGAGATATGGATCGGGGAGTAAATAATTTTGTATTTGTATTTAGATTTTCGATGGGGGGAGATAATGTTTCGTCAATGCTTCGTTTCACAGATGAACAGGGTAAATCTTTCTTGGTTTCCAGTGAAGCTTGTGGGTCCTTTTCTTCCGATGGTTTTACAGTTAAAGTTTTAGTGGAAATGTTCTCATTGGCAATTGTAGTTATTTGCATTTCACCAGGCGGTTGCAAAATTTCTGGAATAGAAAAAATTGAAGATGGTGTCGGAGTAGGTGTAATATTTGGATCACCTACGGCAACTTGATATAATTGGCTTTCAATATCGATTGAAGATTGGGAATTTGGGGTAGAAGTAGGATTCGGTATAGTTGAATTTTGGGCCTGAGTGGTAGATGGAATACTGTTGATGTTTGGACAATTGTTTGAAATATGACCTAATTGCTTACAAGTATAACAAGTCAAACTGTCTTGAGATATGAAAATTCTGTAAGAGGTGTTTTCATAATTGATTTCAATCGAATCTGGAATAGTGAGATTATGTGGACTGACAAATACCTGTTTTCTAAAGCTTAGTATATGGTTATAATCTGGTAGTGTAGCACCGATTTTTAAAAAAGTTATAGGAGAAACGAGGTTTAAGCCCATTTCTTTTAATTCTCGGATAAGTACATCATGGGGATTTGTTGGACTGACGTTAGATAACACTATCCTTTCAGCAGGTGTTATAAGTCTTCTAGCTCGTACGATTTCTCCTTGCACTTTAATAGAAACATATTTCTCCATAAATTCATCTACGCTGGATTTACTATTTAGATACATACATATTCTATTATTAGATATCCGAGAAGAGAATAAAATATTTTTTGGATTAATTAAAGTGCCTAGCGGGATTAAATAATCCTGAAGACGGACGTTATTTATAGCACTAAAAATAATTGATGATCTTTAGTAGGAAATTTCTGCTGTGATGCTGCCAAGGAATAAGATTTGCTCTTTGAAGAGACGTTCTGTATAGTTACATCCGACGACATACCAATTTGTTATTTTTCACAGTAGCAAAAATATAGTACCTCTCTGCCCCAGCAAAAAACAACACTGGTTGTTGTTTATTATTGATAAAATTATAATTATTTGCCATCGATAAACCATCCAACAAACTAATAAATCCAGTTTAGAATGCGTTTTTAAGTTTAACTAATAAGAAATATTTAAACTTACAGTTTTAAATAATGTTGGTAAACTTTAACTGTAATTTATAATGTTTAATTTTCAAAGTTTAACTCTTTAAAGTTTTAACTAATAAAAATATCAAGAGCCGAGACAAACGTCTTGTTCACAAGTTTTGTCCTAAAAAAAAATATATATTGTATTTTATAAATTCCCCGAAAAAATGGTTACTGTAGCAAAAAAAAATTAAGTTGCATTTAAAAATATCTATAAACAGATCAGCAGAGAAGAATGGAGCTATTATTGATAGGGGCCACTCTGCAAGATAGGATTAGAAACGAATATCTACAAGCTAAGACTTAAGTCATAGACGTCATTGGAAGAAGCTGTAACTTAAAATGGAAATGGGCTGGACACGTTGCCACAAGTAAGGATGGAAGGTGGACTCGCAAACTAGTTGAATGGAGGCCAAGAGCCGATAAACGTAGCAGAGAAAGACTACCAATACGATGACAAGACGGCTTACGAGAGACAACAAAAAACTGGATACTGCAAGCACAAGATAGAACACTTTGGAGACAAACAGGGGAGGCCTATGACCAACAGTGTCCAACAGATCATAAACACAATCCAAAAAACTTGAATTTAGTTCACATTCGCTTTATAGTAATATAACATTGCTAACTAGGAAAATTAAGTTCCTCAAACGAAGTTATAAAAAATCTCAGCCAGAATCTTGATACTGAGACTTAACTGAAAACATAATATTACTCACAAAGTTGATATAATGGACAAAAATGGTTAGTCAGTTCACACTTTCAACTCGACATAAGATAAATTATTCAATATTTTGCAATAAAATACGAAAAGAGATTGGTGAGTCCAATGAAGGATTTCCGATGATTTAAGAAACATTTTTATATTCGTATATTATGATCCTTAAAAGTATTCTCTCGAATAAGATCCAAAATACCATTTGATATTGCATCTTTTGTCTTTTTATTACTACTTTTCAAATAATAAAACATTTACACCCCTTGTTATCAAAGGAGCTCTCAATATTCGTGTGGAAATAATCTTAGGATTATTTTCTCTGCTTCGTTACCTATATGCCTTTTTTCAGTGCATTTTAAAATCATGACACCAGGAACAAACTTTTATTGCCTTTGTTTTCGTTCAATTTGTTATTATTCAATTTGTTATTAGATATCCTCTCTTATTTATTTTTGGAGATGCTTTCTGTTGATTTAAAGAGGGTGTATTATCTACAAATCTTGGTTCTTCGCCAGAATTAATTACATTATCTATTACCTTCAGTGTAACAAGGATTCGAAGAATTGTATATAATTTGTTTTACATATACGTTGCTGTTTTTAGGTCCTGGTTACGCTACTCCACTTGATGCCATGAAAACTGGCCCAAAAGAAAAGCTCATGTACGTCGTTTGCATTAATCCAAATGAAGGAGAAGATAAAACCGATCTTTTGGCGACGGTAGACGTTGATCCGGAGTCACCAACCTATTGTCAGGTAAGATATGTTAAGTAAGCAATACATAGTTAATATAGATTCTGCAGTAGATACTTGCTTTTTTAAATTCCAAGTGAATCTTTAGTATAAATAATTCTCTTTTCAGATTATTCATCGCTTAAGAACTGGTCACAAAAACGATGAGCTTCACCACTCTGGATGGAATGTCTGTTCCAGCTGTCATAGTTCCACAGGCTGTTGTAATGGTCTTGTCAGGGACAAACTTATTCTACCTGCTTTGGGATCTGATAGGATTTATGTAGTGGATGTTGGAAAAAATCCAAAGGCACCAGAATTTCACAAAGTAATAACTGAATATTTTTGTACAGTTTATGTAGTATATATATATATATATATATATATATATATATATATATATATATATGTATATATATATTATATATATATATATATATATATATATTTATATATATATATATATATATATATATATATATATATGTATATATTGTTATGATATGTAAAATCGAGAAAAATATTGGTTTGTTTAAAATATTTCAAAATTCAAAAACATTAAAATAATTCAGATAAGTAGGATAATAACCAACAAACATTTCGAAGAAGGAAAGTCTTTAAATTGTTGGATTACCTGTATTAAACAAAATGTAAGCTATGCATAAATTATTTCTTTGTTATACTATACTTGAGTGACCCGCATAATTTTAAGTGAAATCCAAAGACAATTGAACCGGGTTTTTCCAAATACATTAATGGAGTGATTAAGGACAATAGAATAGATTTTATAAAGATAGGTTTTTGTTAGTTTTTAAGAATCGTAGAAAAATATTATTTGTAAATAAGTTTTAGGAAATTTTATAATTATAGGTAAAAATTTGTTTGTTATCGAAATGAAAAAATGGGACGAGCTTTGATTGGCGGAGATTGAAAAAGGTGGGATAGGTATGTAGGAATGGAAGTTTAGCTAGATTTTGGAGAGAGAAAAAATAGTGAGTTGGTTTCCAAGGGTGCAAGGCGAACGGCCGTTTGTTCTCGGGTAGTTTCCCAGAGGTAGGAAGCAGTAGCAGTGAAAGTTTGTGAGTTTTCGTGTAGTTAGTGTATCTGACAGAAGCTGATCCAGTAAAATATTGTAAGTCATATTTTTCTACTTATATTCCAAGAGTCACTGTTCAGGCCAACGAGAGATTCAGTTTATCGTAAAGAAAAGATATTTCAAGAGTCATTTTTCACTCAGGCCAACGAGAGATTCAGTTTATTGAGAGAAGAAGAAGCTAGCATAATTTGAACGATTCGTGCATTTGAAGGAGATCATTAAGGACGATAAACTTGCAATAATTTGTTGTAAGATTGCTGATTACCTAGGGAGCGGCCACGAGTAAATAGTATAGTCTACAAATAACAAGGATTTGGACCACTCATCATCAGAGAGAGATAGTTTTGTTTTCTGCAGTTTTTTCTTTCATTGATAACACAATTTTTACACTTAATTTAGAAAGGATATAAATATTTTGATTAGGAGAGTTAGAATAATATTTGGATTTTGAGATTTCAACTAATATTGTTTGTACCATTAATTTTGAAGGTTCCCGTACGTAGAACAAAATTTTGAGAATCATTATATGAGATTTTGTTTATCGAAAACATTTGAGTGTGAATATTATTTCATTATTTTTATTTCAATATATAGTATTATATCATATGTGTTTTTCATTATTCCGGTATTCTTTGGACCTTACCTTTCACATGTAATAGCATAGATATTGAAGCACTAATTTAACCCTGAGATAAGAGAATTAAAAAGTGTGATAGAGTCATAATCATATCATTTAAATAATTTTAATTAATCAATTAATTAATTAGCTAATAAATTGCTTGGCGCACCAAGACTTTAAATATCACAATAATATATATATATATATATATATATATATATTATATATATATATATATATATATATATATATATATATATATATATGTATATATATATATATCTGTTCTGAAATTTTCCAGTACAATTAAACCTCGAGCTAAGATTAATACTATTATAGGAATAATATTAAACTCAACAGTCTTCCGGGTTGAACCACGTTATCACTGCGCCGAGCTTTCGACATCCTCTTCGATATCTTCTTCAGGGTTTCCGAGGTCTCAGCTTCCCGAGCCCTCAGACACTTCTACACTGATCACTAATGCATTGATTATAAAATCATATCTTTTATCTATATCATATCAAATAAAAATCATATCTTTTATTTATATCATATCAAATAAAAATCATATCTTTTATCTACAACAAAAGCCAAGTGTCTCAATAATTATTAGGTTTATTTATAGGAAGCAGCTAACGGAATTTTAGAAAATAAAACTTGAAAAATTTACGCGTTTTAAATCACCATGTATATTAAATATTATTTTATCCACATAATGTGAAGTTTTATAAACATAGACGATATTAAAAAATTTGTAAAAATGTTTACAATTTTATTATTGTAAAAGGGGTATACAGGGTGTCAAATCAGTCAATGTAACATAAAAAAATTGATCATATCTCGAAAAACACTCACTGTAAGGTATCATAACCCTATATTGAGCAAATCCTTAAGATCAGTAATATCGAAATACATGATAATATATAGGGCGATATATTTAAAATAAGGGACTTTTCGTCAACTTCCGGTATAAGCGTGATAGGAAGCACTAAATATTTTAAATTAATTGGGCATATATAAAAACCCTTAACTTTATATTCAGATACTAATTATGTCAATTATCTTAACTCCTAAATGTAGGTTTATATTGTTTTTAATTTTACAATATACAATATGTACAATATATAATTTTACAATATATATATATATATATATATATATATATATATATATATATATATATATATATATACAATATTATCAGGCAAAAGAATAATATTTCAAATTGAATTTATATTTCCTAGATCATAGAAGGAACCGAGATGAGACGTTTCAACTGCAGGACTCCTCACACTACTCACTGTTTAGCCAGTGGAGAGGTTATGATCTCCATCATGGGAGATAACGAAGGAAACTCGAAATGTGATTTTATTTTATTAGATGGCAAAAGTTTTGAAGTCAAAGGTATGTTAATCATTGATTCTAAAAATAAATAAATAATAATTAGTAGTCGATATAATTAAGACTTTTAAAAGTAAATCTAAGCGAATATGATATTTTTATATATCATATTCGATTCGTTTTATACAAAAGCAGCTGTCAAATATATACTGAAAAAAATAAATAGTAATTGTCAAATTAACGACCCCCAACAGAGTAATAGCTACACACGAAACCGTAAGAATAGACTTAATCTGGGAAAGGATATAAAGTAATATTCTCATTCATGCAAACATTTCATATTTTGTCATACAAGTAATGGTGCCTTAGATTCCGTATTTTGTATACCATGTATATATACAGAGTGTATTTAATAGAGGTGACTATATGCAGCATTTTCGTACATCTTTTCGGAATTTAATTGCATTTCCAAATTGTCTTCTTACTCACTATCCTTCTTCTTTTTCTTTTTTTATGTAGACATGACTCTCTATGTTTTGATTCTATGGCATGACTCTCTATGACTCTCAATGGCTGCGTTCACCAGATCACACCAGATGCAAACATTTTTCACAACTCTTTGCGCTTGTGTGATCTGGTGCAATTAAACTTGTTGACAACGAGCTGAACGGTTTGTTGTGGAGGTGGAGGTTGAGATTTGACATTTTGCTTGGTTGAATCTAACCTAAAATAAATATTCTCAGTTTTTGAATTATTTTTTAATAATAAAAAAAGAAAATGGATGATAACATAGCTAGCCTAACCTAACCATCCAATATTTTATGAACATCTTCGGTAGCTGTTATTTTATACACAAAACCATTATAAATATATTCTATAATTTGTATAATTTCCATTCTCGCCATATTTTTGCTAATAGTCAACAAGTTTAGAAAGTTCAACGTAAATATTTTATGCTTGCAAAAATGGCGATCGCTTTCCAAACACGTTTGACGTTAGCAACACTCAGCAAGCCGTTCAGAAGAATAAAGCGGAAACTGATTGCCAACGTTTGCATCTGGTGAACGCGACCAATGTGTCTCCAGTAAGTTGTGGTTCCATCGTTTTCGAGGTCTTCCTACTAATCGTCTTCTAATGGACTGTCTAATCTCTGACGTCATAATGTGCGAGGATTTTAAAAACCTTTCCAAACATTTCTAATTCGTGCGTATTTATCCCATAAGAAGTTGGAAATATTGGTTTTTTTAATTGTTTAAAGAATAAATAAGGACTTTTGGTTATGAACATTCATGCTGTGCGCTTGATATATTTGTTGTTTGAGAATTTGTGAGGTAGGAATATGCAAGTATTGAGATATTTACTATGAATGTTCATATTTTAAACGTATGTTGTTAGTTGATTAAAACTTTCATTATTTTTTACTGTATTTTAAAATTTTAAGGTATTTTGTTACTGTTTTTTTTTTCAGGATTATTTCAAAATTAATCAATAAATCATTGAATTTATTTACTAAGAAAAAATATGTAAATTATTGTTTTAGTCTTTTTTAAGTGCTAGTGATTTTATCCCCTAGAAGACTAAATATATTCGTTTTCTCGTAGTTTAAATAGTTAATAGTAGTTTTGTTATGATTACTGAAAAATTCAGTGATACTGAATATCTTCAACACATGTTTAGTAGCCATTATATGCCCAGATCTAAAAAATAAACCCAAAAACTAAGAAAATATTCAAAAAATATTTTTTTAACCACTCATTATGGCAATTTAATAAAATAGTTTTTACAAAATGTTATATTACAACTTGAAAAACGAATATCTGTAGTCTTTTACAGGATAAAATTACTGGCAACTACAAAAGAATAAAAAATAATTTAAATATTTTTTAACTTCGTAAATAAATTTAATGATTTATTTTGAGATAATCCTGATAAAAACAACAATTACCTTGAAATACAGTAAAAAAAATATTAAAGTTTTAATCCAACATTAACATAACCTTATAATATGAACATTTATAGTAAAAATCTTAATTCTTCGATACTCTTACCTCACAAATTCACGAACAATAAATAATATCATCACAAAGAATAAATGTTCCTAACCAAAAGTCCTTATTTATACTTCAAACAATTAAAAAAACAATATTTCCAACTTCTTAAGGGACAAATACTCACAAATTAGAAATGTTTGGAATGGTTTTTAAAATCTCCACCCATTGTGACGACAGACTTAGGTAGTCTATTGGAGAACCGTCTCTTGCCGTCGTTACTACTCTATTTGTTGTCATTCGGCTTATTTGATCGTTCCATTCTACTCCTCTATTTCTCACCCAGTTCTTGATGTTCTCCACGTTATATTTACGTTGTATATATGTACTTCTAGCTCTGTCCTATAGTAGGTACCTTACCATCGATTTTTCAAAAATGTTTCATCTCTGATGTTTCTAATATCCTTTTTGTCCTAACTGTGTCAGATTGTGTTTCTGCCGTATATGTCATTATTGATTTGATGATTGTTTTGTAAATTCTGCCTTTCATTTCTTTCCAGATATTTTTGTTTCTCCATATTGTTTCATTTAGGCAACCTGTGGCTCTGTGTGTTCTATTCACTTGATCTTCCTCTTCAGTTTTGAGCTTTGTGTAGCTAGATAATGTGATGCCTAGATATTTAAACTTCATCACTTGTTCTGTCTGACTTTTCAGCTCCAATTTACATATTAGTAAATTTGCTGTTATAACTATGCATTTTTTCTTGTTTGGGGAAATTAGCATGTTAAATTTTCTGGCGGTTATATTAAATTGTTGCAACTACACATACATTTTAATTTAAGTGTGTTACTTTTATTACCTTATCTAACGCCATATGTTTTATCTAACGCCATATGTTGTATCTTAGTATTTTTTATCATAGTGTCTGTTAGCATGATTTGTTATACTGTATCGAATGCTTGTTCATTATCGAAGAACTGAATACATGTTTTTGTTGTTCTGTCATGTGTAAATACTCTTGTATAGATAAATTAACCGAATCGTGTAAAATGATATCAAATTTATTAATTTGAAGTTTTAATATGTTTTGGGGTTTTCTCTCTTGGGTAAAAGAAATAATAACGTTGTTGATTTAATCTTATGAAATCTTGTTTGTTTTATAAATTGATTAGCTACATTTTTTTCGTATTGCATTACACTACATATTCATAAAAATATAACGGATAAATACGTTTTGTTCTTTCCCTGATTTCACTTCATTTTCACCATTACCAATTTTTTTAAGATTAATCCTAGATATTTGCATGTTTCTACACCATTGAGTTTGTTATTTTCTAAGTCGTTTTTTCATCTTTGCCCACGACTAGATATTCACATTTTATGTATTCCTTGTTAGATTCGCCGCATCATATTCTTTTGGTAACTTTCTTTAAAACCTTGGTAACTTTTGCAATCATTATGTGGCCATCCGGAAAGAAGAGTATTTAAAAATATGTCATCTTGCACCGTTATTCCTAGCAACGAGAAAGCAGTAGAATTTAATACATCTGCATCCATGTGTTTGATCGACCTCACTAAAGCATTCGATTGTATGTATTAGACTACAAGATGTGATTGAACTTTTACAGAGGGAGACATAACAGCTACTATAACACAGATAATAAAGGATATCTTATCACAAAACAAGAATAAAAATAGGAACTGAACTAATAGAGGAAGTCAACATTCAATCACGGGTTATTGACAGGGCGATAGCTTGAGCCCGTTATTGTTTAATGTGATATTGATAATGGAGAAACTAATAGAAGATGTAAAAAAGTCAGGAACAGAGTACAAAATGGGCAACAGAGCAATGAAAATTCTATGCTACGCAAATGACGCAGTAATAATATCAAATTAGGATTAGGAATTAATTACTATTTATAACTGGGAATAAGCCACAATTAAAGATAAAAAATACGTTTATTGACGTTTCAATTTCCAATTCGGAAATCGTTCTCAAAATACAAACAGTAAATTAAACAAATTTTGTTTTTTGTTACATAGTGAAAAAATTCTTCTAATAATTTAATTTTATCTGACTCATTTATATTGACAATTCAGACATACATTATGCATTTTAAAGTAGACGACTTTAAAATGATATTGCCAATATTGTTGAGTTGCGCTCCTGGGACGACTTTACTATAAGATAGTTCATTCGATTACATGAAATCAACTTTAACTTGAGAATATCATAAAAATTAAAGATGTTTTAACAAGTTATCAGAGAGGATTAATTACACCTCATTACAGTAAGACTCCTCATTTTTATGGAGTACCGAAAATTCATAAAACGAATATACCACTTAGACCCATTTGTAGTACCATGAATTCTCCTTGTAGTGAACTATCAAAATTTTTATTAAATATTTTAAAACCTTATACAAATAAAAATGACACATTCATAAAAAATACACAACATTTTTTAAATAAATTATCAAATATTGAATTTAATTCAAATAATACTTTGGTAAGTTTTGACATAAATAGTTTATTTACGAATGTGCCATCAAATAAGACTTTAAGTATAGTCAAGAGAAAATTAGAGAGTGATGATTCATTGGCAACTAGAACAAGACTAAACATATCGGCTATAATGGAGTTATTAACATTATGTACTGATAATACATACTTTCAACTAAATAACGAATTCTATAAACAAAATTTTGGTCTAGCAATGGGCTCTAGTTTATCTCCATTCTTAGCCGATATATTTATGGAACATTTTGAAACAAATATCATTTCTAAACAAAATTTCAAACCCACAGTATGGTGGAGGTATGTAGATGATGTATTCTCAATATGGCCTCATGGATCAGAGTTGTTGGACACATTCCTAAATGATATAAACGATAAAGAAGAGACAATAACATTTACCATGGAAAAGGAATATAATAACACGCTACCTTTCCTGGATGTTTTAATCTCTAAGAACGATACTGGATATGAGACTCAGGTGTATAGAAAACCAACACACACCAATAGATATTTAAATTTCAAATCAAATCATAATATTAATGTAAAAAAGGGAA